TTAAGGTCAATGATGGCAGAGAAAGTGCAACTTTAGTTGTGTCTGTGAAATTCTCTACGACTGGGTGAGGTCTGTGGAGGTCACTGCAGAAAGAATGCACTGGGTTTAGTGCTGGACTCATTTTTTAGTCGGTCACAGAGCGAATACCGCACAAGGCATTTAAAAAGAGCTGCTAAAAATAACATGATGTTGCATTAATATGATAACTCTGTGACCTAATGACGTGACCCACACAGTCAGCAATTAATGACCAGGATCAGATACATAATGGAGAATGTTTCCACCTTAATATTTTCGACAGGTCTGGTGAGATAATAGTCTTTCCGCGTGCGAAGGCATTTCTGAAGAAGCAAAACCTGTGGTTTGAACAAACCATCTCGTCATCTCCGACTTGTTTTGTAAATACCTTCGGGTTCACACTGGCAGTCAAGCAGCACCACGTGGAAGCTGCTCCATCCACGTTCTTAAGGGCGCGCGTGGAGTCGCACTGTGGAAGACTGTCGCCATCTACTGGAAGGATTTAGGTACTTTTTCTCACCACTAAATTAGGTCAACGTAGTGAAGGTGTGAGTGCTAAGCCTCAGTAAGTGTTAAGTACAAAGATAAGATTAAAGACGTGCAGTCGGAATAGGTGTGACCTGTGGGTTAAACCGCTGACCTTCACACCGACCCTGTTTCTATAGCTTGGCCTCCTTTAAGATTTAAAGACTCTGCTAAGGTGAAAGCAGCTAAGGTAAGAGAAGATCACTTTTTTCCATCTCACAGCATGTTAATGAGTTGTTGAGAGCAGGGTTCTGAAAAAAAAAAGAAAAAGAAAAACCCTCCTTCTGAGCTGAGATGGAAAATCCTTGTCAGCAGAAGGTGCAGTCTCTGCTGCTGCTGCTGCTGCTGCTGCCTGGGAATGAGGACACAGGGAATGGGAATACCATCAATTTAGGAAGTACTTGGTGAATGACCTGCCTTGAATTTTCCCTTTCCAAATTTTTGATTATGAATGATATGGGAAATAGGAATCACTAAAATGTGAGATAATACTCATCATCTATGATGTTAGGAAAGAATGTTAATACTTTTGGAAATTCAAAATTAGAAAGTAGAGGTTTTGCCAACTTTAGTAATTGTGTAACAGTGACTGCAGCCGCTGTTAGACCAAAAGCACAATCCAAGACACTTTTTCACCTTTTATTTGAATTTTCCCAGAGCACACCAGTGTTTTCTTCAGGCCTCGACACTCTCCTGTCTCACTGACTTGAAGGAGACGTTCTCTGTGGATCTATGCAGATAATCTAACTCCAACAAGTCTCCACTAAGGCCCTGGCTCTTTGTTCTCTCAGCTGAGGAAACATCAGGCAGATTAAAGGCCCCACTTCCACTTCCTTCGTTATCCATGAAGTCATCTAATGTTTTCATCCTTCTGCCAAATCCAGAGCTCGGCTGCTTCACCTCCAAATCTTCTTCCTCATCTGCAGACTTGGCTTCAGCAGAGCTGCTTGTGTTTTCTTTGCTGTTCCCTCCATCATGGACTTTAATCGCCCAGGAAATGTGCCTGCTCTGTGGCTTGGTAGATTCCGGGGGAAAGACATTATCACGTGGTTTGATCGGTGTCTGTGTTCTCGATCTGACGCCGACGAACGTTGCACTTCCAACGACATCAGCGTAGGTGACCCTGACAGGCTGCTTTGGCAGCGGGACCATGTCTGCGTTTGCACTTTCACTGGTCTGAAGGGTGGATTTGTCCATGTTGTTGCTCTCGTTATGCTTCCCTCTCTCTAAGTCGCTGGAGGCTCTGTTAAACAGACCTGACCTCTCAGGAACAGGTTTGGTCTCCCTGAAGCCCTCGGCTGAACTGAGATGAGGTGGGGAGATTGTGTTGTTTGGGTTTTCTTCAGTGAATTTCCACCCGCTCTTCTGTAT